GCTTTCTTATTTGTACTTGGTTACTAACTTCATATTTTGCCGTATTTCATTTTTTCATGATTGTAAATTATGCGAGGACATCATCGCTTTTCAATTCCGTTATTATTCTTGCACATTTTTCATATTTCAATACTGTTGTTTGATAATTATTTTTCATTGCATTATTTACCGATAATTCCCCCTCTGAAGGAATAAGTCTAACCGTTTGACCGCCGCGTCAATAGTCCTTACCTTTGACTCTTTCATTGTTCAAACCCTAATTGCATAGGCGTCCCGCCGTGGACCAAATTACCATTTACCCTAGCATTAGGATAAAGAGTCGCCGCACTCCGTTTTAGGTTTCCCGCCGTGGAATACCTACCTTACCCTCTTTAAATTCAATTTAATTTCAATGTAGAAATAGGAGTCGCCGCACTCCACGTAAGCGCTTCTTTAAGAACGCTTATCCCCCATTGAAACCTTGACCACAGTCAAGAAGTTTCAATTCCTCCCTTTCAAGGGGAACTACGATTACTCTGATTCCATCCCATACCTCGAATACGTAGACACAAGATGCGAGTCTTGGCGAGTAAACTTAGGACTAACCATTAGGTCTTTCTTTTCACCTTCTAACCCTTAGCATATACCCTTAAGCAGATAGTTATAGCAAAATAGCAACATTAAAACAAGAGGTTCCTGTAGAGTACTACATAAGTTTAGGGTGCTAATACCTTCCATAAGCTCAACCAACCCCCGAACCCTAGATCTTTCTCAGCATTGTGTTTACGATGCAAAAATAGGTTTTTCCTTTCTTTAACCTTTCCTTCGGATAAATCAAAGACTGGTTGTGAATCAAAGATTTGTGATTCAAATTAATTAATAATTTGATATCCTATTCTCACTGCAACACTTCTCAACAAATCCAGATCCACTCATTAATAGGTGGAACTACGAACACTCTAATTTATCAATTTCCTTTTGAGAATACGTAGGCATAAGATTGCGAGATCTTAGCGAGCATAATAACAAATAAAACCCTTAGGTTCCTATACCTTTATCTCAAATCATTTCAATTTACACCACAAAAACAATAAAAATATCTCCCATCACTCACTCAAAACATTCAACAAAATCTCTTAGTACGTTGCATTGCACGCACTCACAGGTTTATTTAGATTTTTTTCCTTCCCTCTCCTGGGGTAAATTAAAAGTTCACATGTAGACAGAAAAGGGGCGACCTCACTTTGAAAGAAGGGACCGAATCCCACGTCCACACCCTCAACAACAGTTAGAATCAAACATAATCGACATTTAATTGATTAGACCTTCAATATAGTCGATCACCACTCTCTAGTTTTTCAGTTTTTTTAGACAATAACATATTATAATCAATTAGAGCTTGAGTGTAATTGATTATATATCTAGAAAAATTGTTTTTCATATTAGTTGGTTAACTACATTGATGTGTATTGTTATATATATACTCACGTTGGGTAATTAATGAGATATAACCATTTTTAACCCTAATTATCTCTAATTCTCTTACTATTTCCATTATTCATTTGTTAATCATTTCTCTTGTGATTGGGTTTTCCCCAACATTTGGCATAAAAAGCATAGTTCTTTGGTCAAACACTTAGTATGTAAAAATGCTTTCCATCTCTAATAAATGTATCCTTGCAAATCTCCTAATTCTCGATATGTATAATATAACAAGTGGTGCAAACAGCTGAAGGTGATATTTGGTTATTAATATGTTTTTTAAGTGATCATGAATGGTGTTAATACACTTGTAGAAGGTGTAATGGCTGCACAAAAAATTGCACATAAAGAAGTGAGACGAAAGATTTCAAAGTTTTGTATCACATTCGTCAATATGTCGATGCTCATAACTTTGAGAAGGTTGGTGATTGCATATCCTTAAAATAAGTCTGTTAAATCTTGGAGAAAAGTTATGTAATAGCTGACAAGGTAAAGGTTGCGAGGTTACGACCTCACAAATGGAAATTGGAATTAATTCAAATGGCGAAGAAGAAAGTCATTAGTGAAGTTACTACAAGAATCACAAGATCAGTGAATCAAGTGAAAGCTTTTGGAGAAACAATCATTGAGCAATATGTGGTTGGTAAAATCTTAAGATCGTTAACATCAAGATTCAATAACATAATGGTTGCAATTGAAGATTCCAAGGATATTTCAACCATGATCAGATAAGAGTTGCAAAGTTCTGTTGAGGCTCATGAGCAGAGAATGGGAGAGAGGAATGTTGACAAAGTAGAAGATGAAGTTGCTTTGTAGACCCGTTTCGTTGGAAAAGATAATAAGGTGAAGGGAAAGTGGTACATGAATAGAGGTATAGGAAACTATCACAATAATGGTGGAAGTGACTCCCAAAATTCCAACAATTCAACATTTCAAAATGGGGAAAACAGTTGCAACAAAGGTGGAGGATCAAGAAATTAAAAAGGTGGCAACAATAAAGGAAGTGGATGAAGATGGAAAAATGACAAGAGCAACATCCAATGCTGCAATTGTCAAAAGCTTGGTCAATTTTCTCGTGAATGTAATGCTAACAAGAATAATCCATAAGAAGTTGATGCAAATTTTGCAAGGTAATAATATGATGTGAACATGTTACTAATGCTCATTGTTGAAGCACAAAAAAACACAAGAAATGGCAATTGAAATTAGGTACAATCACTTCAAAATGTGATGGTGACTATGCGAGAAGATGCAAAATGCAACGATAAATGGTACTGTAACTCCGGGTGTTCAACGTACATGACATGAAGGAATTATTGGTTTGTAAAAATCAAGCAAGTATTGAAAAACAAGGTGAAATTCGTGGATGACAACACACTTACAACAAATGGTATTGGCAATGTATAAGTCAAGAGGAAAAATGGTGAGCATTTTTTGATTAAAGATGTGATGTATATTCCATGAATAAAATGAAATATTTTAAGCATTGGTCAATTGCTTGAAAGAAATTATAAGATTCACGTGGAATACAAAATGTTGAAAGTTATGGATGCAAATGAGAGTTCAATCCTAAAGGCCCATATGGCTCAAACCATAACCTTCAAGGTTGAATTGAAAGCATTGGAGCACAAGTTTCTTGCATTGACTGCTAGTAGGGAAGAATGAATATGACATTATAGGCTCGAACATTTGAATTTCAAGGATCTCAATGCTATGTAGAAAAATAACATGGTTACATGGCTTCCATTGGTCAATATGCCAGTTGAATTATGTGAAGAGTGTGGGCAAACTAAGCAACATCGAGGCAATTTTAGTAAAGATGCAGGGTGCAGAACCAAGTATCATATTGAGGTGGTGTATTTGGACGTTTATGAACCAATGCAAGTTGACTCAATCAGAGTCAATAGGTTCTTCATTACTTTATTGATGATTTTAGTAAAAAATTGAGAGAGAGAGAGAACAATACTCATAAGTATATGTGCATATATGTTTATTTCATTCTCTATTCTATTTAATTGATTTTTATTTTATATTAATTGTCATACTTACCCCAAAGACATATCACAAAATTTATTATACAAATAATTTAAATTAATAAAAACATACGTAGCTCTTTTAAAGTCAATGCACACCAACAAAAAGCGGACAAACGGATAAAATTATACTAATAATATATATATATATATATATATATATATATATATATATATATATATATATATATATATATATATATATATATATATATATATATATATATATATATATATATATATATATATATATATATATATATATTTAAAATATAAGAAAGTGGTAATAATATTTATTAATTTATAAATTATTTTATAGGCAATTTTTTTTTTGACAATTAATAACAAATTACTTATATATTAATTTAATATTAACATATACATTAAAAATTTATTAATATTAAAATAATCTATAACATATATAAAGCGAAAACTTGAATTTGGTGTAGCCAATTTTTATTTCTATTATACCTTTTGTTTTTTATTTTAAAATTTAATTTCTTTTTTACTAATTTTTTTTTTATTAACTGCTATATAATAATTTGTATAATTATTTTATTTAATTTTTTTATATAAAATTTAAATTAAAAAAAAATAAACACATAAAAAATACGTTTGTATTTTCAAATATCTAAATATTAAAAAAGCGGATTAGTAATGATAATATACAATATTAATTTTTGGCACAGTTTTTTTTTCTTTCTTCCTTTCATTGTTCTGAAGATTTTCACTCTCTCCGATTGCAGATTCTTTAGGATTCCCCATCCCACCGATATCTTACAAAATCGCTCATTACTTTGATTTCGGAAAAAGGGTTTGCCTACTTTCATCATCTCAACCATCTTTCGTGATTCCATCAGAATGAGATTAGGGTTGCCGTTCTCAAACTCATCGTTTTCATGAAGCTTCACTGCCGTCAATCACCATTTTCACAAACCTGCCATCCGTTGCCGTATCTCTCCATTCCTCTTTGATTTCTGAAGGCAAGATCTCTCACTCTCTCTCTTAGATCTATGATTTCAATGTGCTATTCAACCCTTAAATTTTTTTTTTTGTTAACAAAACACTATGAAATCCGAATATTGTATTTTAATTTCTCGTTTTATTTTTGATTATCTAGTGTTGCGCCTAAATTTATATTGCTATTCACACTTACTTCAGTATGAGCTGACCAAGAATATGTTACTTTGCAATTTGAGAGATTAATTTTTTCAAAGATATGTTTATGGAGTTTAATACAATATTCTCATTTGAGTTGCAAGGATAACCTTGTGAAATTTATGGAGTTTAATACCACCTTTAGGCACAATCAGTTTTAGGCCAAACATTATGTTTGTTTTTTGCAAAGCTGTATTTCTAATCATTTCTTCATTAAGCAGTAATCAAATATCATAATGATAATATTGAAACTCCTGCTCAATTTTGTTTCAGTAATTGTGCTCCCTGTGCTTCTACATAAAGAAGGAAAAGAAGCATCTTTGCAGAAACGATTGCCAGAAAGCAACAATGGATGGTATGTGAGCTTTGATACAAATTATTTACTTCATTTTGGTGTTAACTTGTTTTAGTCTCTGGACGTAAAAATATATCTACAAATTAAAATGGAAAGGTTCAATTTTAGGATTTAGCATCTGATAAAAAAAAGGGAACAACATAGAAGTTAATTTGTTAATAAGCTTATATGTGTGGGTTTTTTCAGTTGATTCACAGCCAATTATGGAGGAAACAATTTTGGTTGGTGATGATCTAATGATGGGTCCTCCATCACCAATAGTACCGCCGGAAATAGCTTCGCATGTGCTCCAAGGTGTTGATCTATGTGATGGAATTCTCAGGAATCTATTTTTGTGTAAGTCTTTGTTATCCCCTCTTATTTATTTATTTTTATTCCCCTTTGTACTTGGATTTGATGACAATAAAAATGCTTTTGGAGATATTCATAAATAGTTGGGTCTGTTGTGGGCACACTGAATCAGATTCAAGATGAAATCAACTCTCTGTCTGCTCTAATGAGCTTTTTGTTAGAGAATGGAATGACCAGTTACAACTGCAGTATGCTCTTTCTTTCCAAGAGATATACTGAATTAAATGTGTGAAAACTGAAAAAATGAGTAACCACATTTTGGCCTATATAACCAACATTTATCGGGTCCAAACAAAGTGAGAGGTTAAGGTATTAAACTTAGACAAGATTCAACTCACTGATAAATACGGAAAATGACATTGCATAATTTTTGTTCGTTCAAAATGCTCACATTAGATATCTATTATAACATTGGCATATTCAATTCTTATAATCTTTATTCATATCTTTTAGGCTTGCAAATCAATGACATTGAACCATTCTGTCAAGACGAGATTGCTCTGTATAAACAATGTGCTGAAAGAAGGGTGAGATTATTAATTTCAGATACTATATTCTCTTATTTTACCTCTTCCTCCTACCTCTATTTCTTTAACTTCTTCATTTGATATTACCTTTAATGAACAATTTCAAAATCTTGCATTACTCACTAATATTTGAGATAGAATATGATAACGGCAATTCAGTTTAGTTAGATCTACAATCATTATGTTTTATTTCATTTTTATTTTTGAAAAAATGCAGGATAAGGAGATAAGGCAGCGACTTCAAAATAGTGAATTCAAATTGGGTTCATCAATGCCTTTAGATGCAGCCAAAGAGAGGACTACTCAGCTTGAGGCAGAAGTTACATCGTTGGAGAGGTGAGGTATCTTCAATTAATTGTTGCGGGTCCATGTTTGGTAAATTGTCTAGAGAATGTTTCTTTGCTTAGCATAACCTGAAGGAACATGAAGCAGTGTTATAGAAGATCCTTGAAGATGATTTTTTTCTTTCTTTCTAAAATACCGAACCATGGAATTTCTGGAGCGCAGCTTCCTATTAACATGATTATAATTTTGTGATTATCATGTTTCTGCTATTGTTTTGAAGAACTCCAGCAACATAATTGAACTTGTCTCCGTACAAAAGTTCAATTGCCACCCCTGAAGCTAGGATGATTTCTTTGTTCTGATTTTTTAACATTTGGAGATGAATATTTAAAACAAAAAAAAGTCAGTAAAAAGGCCTCACTTTCTTGAGCACTGTATATTATCTGTCTTCAAAAGAAATAAGTTCATAGTTGCACTTGGATTGCCTTACTGTCTTCATTAACTCTCTGTCACTTTGGCTTTTACACTAATTATTTGACACACGGCTATATGATGTTGAAATCTTTGTATCTGGTTATCATAAAAATTTTCTGTTGAAATTTTCAACGTATCTGGCTTTCACACTAATTCATTTGAATTCATAGGCGCTTAATTCTTGCTAGTGGAGTTGAGGGCATTGAAGGTTTCCGCCAAAGATGGAGCTTGCACGGCCGCCTTACGGATTCCAAGTAATGTTTATCATTCGTAGTTATGTTTTTGTGAAGTATGGTTTGATATCAAATATTTTAATCTCATTCATTGCCGTTGATGAAAATCTTTTGTTGAGTTTTCAATTATTATATAAGTTGCATTCTGGTAGATACTCTATCTCACTTCTGAGGATATCATCATTGATGTGTCTGATTTGCTTGTTAAATGTGATGTTTATATCATGTGGTTGATTGCAGGAAAAGGTTGGAATTTTTAAAGCGGGGCATAGATGTAAGAAAAGTATGAATCCTTTGGGGAATCAACTTCCAAAAGTTGGTACTTGAGGGGAAGGCTATACCTGCATCAAGAGCCGTACAATGTTATCTTCGGCTCCATATTAAAAATTACAGAAGCTCTCTTGCTTTTTAACCATCATTTTTATGATATACTAGTATATGTAATATCTAATATATATTTTAGTCATTCTCAAATAAAGAGCATCATATTCATATAAGTGTTTTTGGACCAAAGTCATCTTGTGTTGAAAGGTGTAAGTGAACTACTTATTTTAAGGGGGGTTAATTCTCCCATCTTTAGTAGTGAGCATCCTATCCTATAGAAATCTGAAAAGGCCTCTCTTAATTTCGGAAGGGCGTCTCGGGCCAGGTCTATTTTACAGCAAAATACATTTTAAGTGAGACACAACTCCATTTTTTAATAACTAGTCTAGAAGTGTATCTCCAGACAAACTTTTACAATGATTTTGTTTATTTCACATGTTCTAAAACAATTCATCGAGACACGAAAACATATTCTAAATGAGACACTCAATTTTTCTCCAAAACTAGTTTGGAAGTGCATCTTCGAACAAATCCTACAATGATTTTGTTAATTTAACAACTTTGTGTCATGTTGCATGTATTTCACAACTCAATGAATATTTCTGAACTGTATTTTCTAATTTGTCAAGCAAGGAATTTAATAAAACATTTTGCATGTTTGTTTCACTCATGATTATACCACCAATTTCTTCTTCAAACCTATCAAAATTTCCATACACACTCAATCAACATTTCTATTTCAAAATAACATTTCTTTGTTTTTTCACATCAAATTTAGCAACAAAAAAAAAGCAAATTTTAGGTAATGTGCATGTATTTTTTTCTCATTACTTTCAGTAATCTGATTTTCTATCTGAAAAATGAACGTTTCGTCCGAAAAAACATTTGCAAATTGTTGTTGAATGTCAAACAAATTGTATTTTCGAATTAATTCATAGTTGAATTTGATAAGTTTTTAAATTATATTTTGTTATGATTGACCTAAGATATGGGACACCCTGATATTGTCCCCAAAGTTATTGTGTCTATAATTGCCAAAACAATTGATGTTAAGGTAGATGTTAGTAAAGAATTTACAAATTAACAAGAGTTTGAAGTTTGAGATCATATGATCCAATGAATTTGCAGGAAGACTGTCAAATTGGAAGTTTGAGATCATATGATCCAATGAATTTGCAGGAAGACTGTCAAATTGGAAGTTTGAGATCATATGATCCAATGAATTTGCAGGAAGACTATCAAATTGGGGTTTATTGTTGTAGTCAGAAAGTCATATAATGGTTCTGATAAAAGCATACATTTGTGACAATGAAATTTGAAAGAAATGATAAAGACATATATTTGTGACAATGAAATTTGAAAGAAATGACAAGTACACAAATCATATTTGAAAATTAAAACGAAAATTAACATCCTTAATCAATTTTCAGTTAAACAAAATTAACATCCTTAATCAATTTTCCGTTAAACAAAATTTTTAGTAAAAAATGTGAACACCTCTAGTATTTTTCCTGACTACGCAGTGCCATGGAGTATGGAACTTTTCAAAACGAACTTTTCGACAACTAATGTCTATATGTATCAGTTGGGAACAGATCCAGTCAAATATGTGAACACCTATGGTATTTCTCCTAGGATAAACCCTTGGAAAAAATCATGTTCGAAGGTCCAAAAGGTGTTTGATATTCTACAGTTAGTGTGCAAAGCATTAGTCATGCATGCATAGCACCTTAATGCCACAAATTCCATTCTTATTATAGTTTGAGACTTAAACGCATACAAACTTATCCTTTGATTGCAAATAATAATATATGTTATCGTGGTAATGGAGAAATTAGGTTTTCAAGGGATGTTTAGAATCGAGTGCAAAAGAAATGCTATACCCGACGACTCTACCTATAATGTGCCTTTGCAGCCACAGCTGACCATGAGCATATAAAAGTCTATCATCATCCTAATTGTTATCTCGTACCAAAAACGGAAAATAAATGACAAAAGGGCAGTACATTAACAGTCAACCGATACAGATGGACAAACCTATTCGCCATTGTCGCATTCTATGTGATCATAACTTTCCCAATCTTAATACCTTTACAACACGCTTTTAAGACATTCTCCATACTCTCCCGGTTGAAATTAAAGGAATATCAATATAACAATAGAAAGTGCTTTTAAAAATGATAAAGATCTACAGATATATATTTTAACATTAAAAGAAGAACCAAACTGAGTAAATACCAGAACACCCAAACCAGGAAGCAAAAGAAGAATCAAATTAACTGAGTAAATACCAGAACACTCAAACCAGGAAGCAAAAGAAGAATCAAATTGCTAGCACATCAACCAAGTCACACATTCGTAAAAAATGTAAAAATCATCAACCATGAAATAAAACAAAAAATCATCAAAACTAATCAAAATTCTTAAGTTAATTAAAAACATAAGCATGTATCATACTATTATTTTTGTTGTCTTTATCAATCGGTTTCTTAATCCACTATACAAACTTAATGCAATATCAAAACTAATGAAATTTCAAAATTAATCTCATTTTAAAAACTAATGTAGTATCAAACTAAGGAAACTTTAAAACCTAAAACCAATGCAATTTTAAAATGTAATGCAAAAACGAATACAACATATGGTAGTGGAGGCGACTTTTGAGTTCTAAAATATGTATATCAAATCAAAGTTTCTCAATATATAGATGATGTGGAATTGTCTTGCATTTGATCATTCATCACACACACACACATATCCTTTAATTAGAGATACACTACATGATAAATAGAAACTACATCATAACTTGTCCAGCGTGTACCGAGAGCCAATGGGTCTGAATGTGAAGGTATCTTATAGAAATGGCAGGATACATTATTTTTCATTTCTCTAGTATCTTCTAATTGTTTGTGTGGAAAACCTGCAATCCCAAACATGTGTTCTCTATGCGGATAAGACAATTGACTTTAGAAAACTTGACGAATCATGTACCTTCATCTCACATTTTAGCATCAATCTCTTTGCTAGGAGGATACTTTGGTAAACTTGACTTATCACAAGGCAAATGTTCTGATGTTAATAACTAACAAAAAATGGAGAAAAGTTCAAAATACAAAATCAGGAGTATTGCTGATTTCATCGGCATGAAACACATACCACAAATATTACACATAAGAATGACATGACTTAATCTTAATCAGATTGTATAATTACTTGTTGTAAGTATACACCAAAACCAACATACCTCGATTTTCAGAGCAGCACCTGGTGTCCCTCGATTTGACGGATCAACAAATAATATGTTCTCTATAAAGCTTAAGAGCAGTTGATGAGTATTCCTTAAATGTATCTGTAACATATTGCCTATAATGGTGTGGACGCTTAATACTGTTGAACGTGGCAACCACAACTTAAGCCAATAGTCCTCAGATAGTGAGCCACAAAGTTTAAAAATCTGATGCAACTACTCAACCTACAAGAAAGTAAAATCAATCTTAGATACCTCATACATTCATTAACCTACAATGCTAGTATTAGTATCACTTTTATAATTTACAATATGATGGAAAGTAGATTTGTAAACATCATACCTCAGTTTTTCCTGAAAAAATGGTCTGACCCGTATATAGTTCCCATATAATGCAACCAGTGCTCCATAAATCCACTGCAACCCCATAGTGATTTGCTCAAAGTAAAAGTTTTGACGGTTCATACCAGTGTTACGACCCAGCTTGTCATTGGAATATTGTGATGAGTGAATATTACTCTGTTCATAGTAACCAGAAACTCTTTGCTTGAAACCAAAACTACGACCCATATGTAAATCTCCATCTTCTTTGATTAACATCGAAACAACAACCCACAAATAATCTGCATCTCCTTCTTTGTGTGAACAATCTCTCACAACCCATAAGTAGATTTAAAGCTTTAAAAGGATGAACAAATACTTTATTTCAGAAAATCCTCATTGTAAAAGGTAATATAAGAAGAAATACATGATGAAGATGAAGATAGAAACTGTGAAAACATCAAAAAATTGGAATCAGTGAAAGGAAATGAATTTCTTCCATAACATTAAACAATCTGACGAGACAGAATAGAGGACTTTTAGGTCTGAAATGTGAGAGGGAAGAGAGAGAGAGAGGGAGAGAGAGAGAGAAGAGAAGAAAGCTTTGGTTCAATTGATTTGAGTGGAGAGAGGGAAAAATGATGGACTTGTGGGATGATGACAAGTGGATGAAAAAGGTGAATAATTGGCCAAATTTCAGGTCATTTAGTTAACTACCAACATTAGTGTAAATTAAAATTGTGGATAAGGGAAATTTAAGGATAATGGTGACATATTTGAATCTTAGTTAGGTAGTTGATATCACCAAAATGCTCTGTAGTGATAAATCTGTAACGAAAAATATCTTTTTGGTCCTTTAACTTTATCTCTGGATACATTTTGGTCTCTCAATTTTAAAAGAAGTCAATTTGATTATTTAATTGTTCCAACGATGCTACATTAGTCCTTTCCGTTTGCCATGTTAGTCAAAGTTAATTTTAGGGTACAAGTGGCACATACATGTGTTGAGGTGGATATGAGCTTACATTAAAAATGAAATTGAAAGGTTTTGTTCGTAAAACACACTAAAGGCGTATAACCCTAGCAAAGCTAATCACAAAGGAGGATTCTGTTAGAACACAGATTGGTTCTTAATAATATCTCTATGTTTTGATGATAACTATTAGGAAATTTTGTATTTAAGAATTATATACTCTAAAATTTGCTTGAGAGTTTTTACTGCAGATAGTAAAGAAATTAACACTCCAGAAGCAAATCTGAATGGTATACAAGAAAGTAACTGACTCTGAAGCGCCAGATGCATTCATTAGAAGATTCCGATTGCTTCCTATAGAAGATCCTGAGCGTAGCCTCCAGAAGGATCTGAAGCAAGAAGCTCCAGAAGATTCTGAAGCAGA